GAAGTTTTTGTTTGTAACTGGCGAACTTCAGCTCTAGAGCTGAAGTTTTTCTGGAAAAATCAGCTTTTTATGTTATCGTCCACTTTAAATGCAGCAACCTGATTTCGTCTAACTCGCACTGAGCTTTGCTCAGCCATTTTTATTGCTAAGCAACTGATATTCGAAAATACACTATACAGTTCTATTATACATTAAGACAACACAAATTTTTCTTTTTCTGAATACAGAAACATATAATTTACATATACAAGGTTAGCTTTCTACTTGCTTCAATTATGCTTCTGGCTATAGCAATAAGTTTCTCCACAAATTATGTTGGAAAAATCCCAAGTACTAGAGGCTCTTTCTAAAAATGATTATTAATTTCTTGAAAACGAAATCCTAGATAAAAACATTGTGTAAATACAAGTTATATACATAGCCGTAACAGATTTCTTGCAGAAAAGGGAGAATGAGAAGTTTGAGAAAGAAGAGGTGGATATAACTTTGACGAGGAAAAATGGGGCTGAAGTTGTTTAAAAAGTGGGTACAAATTAAAAATTTAAAAAAAATAGGTATAGATTAAATGAGGACGATCAAATAGGGCGCCACATATATAATTTTTTCAACAATGGAGCGGGTCCGGGCTGAGGGCCCCGCGTCCTGCTCGGCCCGTTGTAACTTTTGCGCTTTAGAAGGCAAAGCATCTCATGTGCCGTTAGGTCGCAAGTCTCGGGAATACTACCAGCTCCAGGCCACATTGGGACAATTTCTTCAGTACCTTTTTCTTTTACTTCTTGCCCTCCATATCTCCTAATATTACTATCCGATGCCATCTAACGTTCTTAGTTCTACAATTTCATTTAGCTTATGTTTCTTGTACTATAATGGTAAAGATGTAATAATGACAAAAAATAAGGATATAATTGTAGGAAAGTGTAAACAATAATTAAAAGAAAAATAAAGTAGGGCAAGATACAAAGAATTCTTGGCCAATAGATTCACTTGCACCAAATTCAGAAACCATGGTTTTTTTAATACTTTACACTGGTCTCTAAGAATCATCTACCCAACCTTTCTTTATAACCCACCTCTCTTCCAAACTCCATTTCTCCAAACATTTTCCACTTTCCCATTCTCTTTACAAGGAAATTAAATGGACACTAGAACAAGAAGAAGTCCTTTTTTCTTTGACAAAAACGATGGTCTTGCCTCTCTAGCTATAATAGAAGCTGAGATTTCAGAGAACAATCATCGCAATCACAATCCATTGATTTCTAGGCCTCTTTATTATACTTCTTTACAAAGGAAGAGTAGCCTTAGGAATCTTTCATCCATTTCCTCTTCCTCTTCCTCAATGTCATCTCCGAAATTGGCTGGTGGCAGAAGGTTTTGTGAAACTAGATTTGAAGAACAACAACCCCATTTCTTGGAAGCTTGTTTTCTTTGCAAGAAACAACTTGGTAGTAACAAAGACATCTTCATGTACAGGTTAGTTTTCGCTTCATTCTTTACGTAGGTCAAATGAAATTGAAATTTTTCATGGGTGGGGGGTGGGGGTGGATTTTCTTAAATTCGCAACTGGTCATCTTTTAAAATTATGTTTAGAGAAAAAACAATCTTTTTAAAGAAACTGAGTAAAGAAATTCTTGTTTACTAATAGACCAGATCATATATAAGTGAATTGGTTATAGCAAGCGTGGATTGGCAAATTGTGGTTAGGTTCTTATTTACGATATTGGACATTTAAATGAGTACAAGAATTAGATTGTTCTATATTTTTATGATGCAGAGGGGATACTCCATTCTGTAGTGAAGAGTGCAGGCAAGAACAGATAGAAATGGATGAATCCGAGGAGAAAAGATTGAATCTTTCAGCTTCTGTAAAGGCCTTGAGAAAAAATGACCAGAGAAATTNCCCCCCAAAAAAAAAAGTAACACTATATATAGGATGGAATCGAAGAAAGCTCATTCCATCAATTATCTACAAACATCAAATAATTAATGTAAACAGGAAAAAAAAAAAGGCTACCAATGAGACAAAGCTAATTTGGTGAAAGCTAAAAGCGTCCTCGTTATAGAGAAGGATGAAGGAGGAGAGTTAATTAATGACAAGAGTCTTTAATTCCTTTCCATTTTTTCTTAATTCTTTAGTAAATCATATGTAAATGATGATATCGAAGTGGAGGGGCTTTTTTTTTTTGGCTATATCATAACGACAGTGGCTCCTTTTTTGGTGGGCTACTCAAGTCTATAATTTTTTTTCTAAAGTTTTTTCACCGTTGAAATGTGAAGCAAGGATGAATATCTAGTTTTCACAACTTCGTGCATAGTTATTTTCTTCTAGTTATGTCATTTCAATTTATGTTAATAAGTTAGCTCGACAAAAAGAAATTATGTTGATGTTAAATTCCTCCTCTAAAGGCTATTCCTTTTGTACCAACACATGTATCGTGTATTATGTTTATCATCCACCATCTCATCTTGACGTGTATAGAATTTCAAATAATTGTCACTCAACAGGATATGGTTTAACGATACATGATAATTGATATCACAAATTTGTATCTCGTTAATTAATTAGGGCAACCTTTTTTGGACTATGCACGTGAATATCAGATTAGTCCCATGTCCGATGGCTTATATACCCGTTCTCCTTAGTAATTTAAACGATATAATTCAATATTCGTGCAGAAAAAAAGATACATAGAAAATTTTTGTTAAGTAAATACCAGTACTAAAAAGACAAAAAGGATGGTATATCAAAGGAGTAAATAAAAAAAGGAAATATAGAAGAATCATAACAGGTGCTTAGGATTATATTTCATCAAAATATTAGAAGTACGTAATTATGTAATCCTCCTTAGATAGCAGCAAATATGCAAATAAAACAATACAGGGGTACCATTATACAGGCGTATATCAAAGGAGTAAATAAAAAAAGGAAATATAGAAGAATCATAACAGGTGCTTAGGATTATATTTCATCAAAATATTAGAAGTACGTAATTATGTAATCCTCCTTAGATAGCAGCAAATATGCAAATAAAACAATACAGGGGTACCATTATACAGGCGTATATCAAAGGAGTAAATAAAAAAAGGAAATATAGAAGAATCATAACAGGTGCTTAGGATTATATTTCATCAAAATATTAGAAGTACGTAATTATGTAATCCTCCTTAGATAGCAGCAAATATGCAAATAAAACAATACAGGGGTACCATTATACAGGCGTGTCATCTCCTGACACTGAGAATTTCAAAGTCGACAGAATAAGGTTTAGAATGTGAACGTGGAGAGGTTCATTAATTTAAATCACATAAAGCTAAGGAGCTGGAACATTGCATGAATGCTATAGCGAAATAATTGAGAAGAAAAGAATTTTAAAAGCACAATATTTTATATGGAAAGATGTTAGAGGGGAACATTACTCTCATCTATATTCTTTGTCTTTTAAGGTTTTTGTATATTTATAATAAGAAAATTAGTAGGATTAATTATGAAAGTATTTGTCTAAACTATTTTTTTTATGTCTCTTTAAATATCTCATTTAATTAATACTTTACTAGTAATCGAAACCGTTAGGATAGATCCCGGAAAATTATAATAAATGATAGCTTCTTATTTTTATAAAACGATAAATAGTTTAAACAAATTTTCAAGCCTATTAAAATTTGGCGTTGAAAGCTTTTTAATTGTAGAAGATGAAAGTAGGGAATTACAGATCATTAAATTACTCATTGCAAATACGAAGAGAAAAGCGTAGGTCCATTGCGATTTGGGAGGATTTTTGAGGTCTCGCGTGAGAATATGCATAGGCATAAAGCTTATGTGACGTTGTTTGATTGGGTATAAAGTGCTTAAGAAAGAAATAAAAAAAAAATTATAATTTTAAATATGTCATAGTATTATATGGTCTTAATTTTTTTAAATGTTATAATATCTTAAAAAATTTAAATTTCACAATCTTAAATATATTATAATATTTGTGTGATTATAAAATTTTATTATTAAAATAAAATAAACATTTTAATTTAATTTGTGTTTAAATTTTTATATGGAATGGAGGGAGAATAATTTTCTTTCTTCTCTGTTTTTTATACTCAGGAAACTTCCATCTGATGCAATAAAAAGTGGGAGTAAAATTTTTGGAAGATCCGATAATGAAACTTACCGACCCAAATTCACATGCCCATGACAGTCGGGGGAAGAATATGCGATATTTATTGTTTATTTTTTTTGTCGCATATATAAATTATATATTAATTATGCATAATTATATATATTAATTATACATTATACGTATATTATACTTTCGTTGACCATTATTAGTTTAAGTTATTGAATGGACGGCTATTTGGATTAATTCTTAAAAAAAGATAAACCAGACAAATGCAAGAAGATGTATGGATTGGCTTAAAAGCTGGTTAAACCAGCTTAAAAGTACTTTTGGGCTTATTTGAGTGTTTGGATAGAGGGAGATTTGCAGTCGTACCCTATTTTTATGCCACATTTTAACTTATACTCTATTTTTAAAAACTATTGATTTCGTAACCAACTAACAAAAAATCCGTAATAATATGACCATTATACCCCTTCCAAAACATATAAAAGATGCATCAAACATACCCAAATTCAAATTCCAGATCTTCTCCGTATCTCCTCCATCAGTCCGTCTCTCCTGAGATCGCCTCTCGCAAACCAGATTTGAACCAGATTCAAATTCCAAATTCAAAATTACAAAATCCGACAAATATGCTGAAACAAGCTGAAGTTATTTAGTTCATATCTAAAAAATTCAGCAAAACGAGCAGGCAAATAGCACAATGAAGAAAAAATTATATTAAAACATTATATGAGTGTTTTAATATTTAAAACACCTATGCGCAAAAAACTTCGGTATTTTTGAGATGATTCAAACACAAAAGTTATAGCCCTTCGTGTCTAGTTTCCAGAAAAGTAAAGATATCGCAATTTGGACATCTGTAAAAAAGGTTATGGCCAAAATACTAAAGCTTGTAACTGCAGAGGAAGGCCTGTGCGGCCGCGGTTGTTTTTGTGCGGACCGCACTGGCTTGTACGGACCGCGGTCAATTTGGTGCGGCCCGCGGAGGCTGAAATCTGAGGGGTACTCTATAAATACGAGGTTTTGGGTTTTATTTAATATTTTGACCTAGAGAGCTCGGATTTTCGCGATTTTTCGAAGGTTTTTCAAGAAATTCATCGGGGTAAGTGATTTTAACTCAGATTTGGCCAGAATACATGAATCTATCAATGAATTCATCATTTAATTCGTGATTTGGGATGGAATTTGGGAAGAAAATTGTGAAACCTTTCAAAAATGTAAAATGATGATTTGAAGGACCAAATGGTATCGGAATTGGATAATTTTGGTGTGGTTAGACTCGTGAGGGTATGAGGATTTCAAAAATGTAGATTTTACCCGATTCCAAGACATTGGCCCGGGGCTCGGGTTTTGCTAATTTCAATATTTTTGATATTTTTCGAATGCTTTCGTTTGGGCTTTGTTCCCTTAGCATATTGTGACGTATTCGTTCTGATTTTGGATAGATTCGACGCGCGTGGAGGCCAATTCGAGGGGTAAAGGCGTCGCGAGCTAGAGATTTAGCTTGTTCGAGGTGAGTAATGATTGTAAATGATGTCCTGAGGGTTTGAAACCCCGGATTGCACATCGTAGTGCTATATTGAGGCAAGATACGCGCTGGATGATGAGCGTGGGGTCTTTTACTACTGGGGATTGTGACTTGGTCCGTCCCGATTGATGATTTTACCGTGTATTTGATTGAAATTCATTTGTTATCATCATGATTTGGGCTGATTGCCATATTTGGGCTTCGTGCCAACTATTTGAACC